CGGTTCGGTAAGCCTCGTAGAGGCGGCAGCGCGCCAGGTAGGGGAAGTGGTGCAGCATGTGGAAGGCGCGCACCCGCGCCAGGCAGATGCTGCGGACGGGGTGGCATGGGTTGTGAGGGACAGGAGGGGGAGGGGTGCAGTCAGCATGGTCAGATGTGGCAGGCGGCGCAGGACTCGTTTGCGTGGCTGAGGAGCAGGTGAAATGCGGCATGAGGCTCTCTACCCACAAGTAAGCGTGTCAGGCGATGTGGTTTGCGGTTGGTGCCGCCGGCGCTCTCTGACCGTCGCCTTTTCGCCCAGCGGTCCCCGCTTGTGGGTGGAGCATGGCCCCAGCCATCAGCCACACCTGCCAATGATGAAGCCGCGGCGCCTGAAGCCCGTCTTATGCTTTGCGGGACGCCACCCGTAGGCGCCGTCGCTGCCGCCGAGGTCGCGCTCGCCGCTGCCGCCGCCGTCGCTGCCGCCGGTCGAGTCGTCTTCTGCGTGGAATGCCTGCGGTGGGCTGCGCGGCCGCCGGCGTCGCGGCGCGCGCCGCGGCTGGGGCCGCTGCTCCTTAGGGCCGCTGGGGTACTGCTCGTGCTTTGGCCTTCGCCGACGCCGTGCCTGCTCCTCCTCCTGCTTCTGCCGCTGCTGCTCCTCCTCCTGCTGCTGCCGCTGCCCGCGGCCCACACCACGCCTCGGCCGCCGGCCGCCTGCGGCCTCCATCTTCCCCGCGGGGGCCGACGCCACCGCGCCCTGCGAGCCCCGCGTGGCCGCCTTCCCGTGAGCCCCGCTCGTAGCCCTCCGCCGCCTGCCGGCCCCAGGCCTTTCCTCCTCCTCGTCGTCGCTCTCCCACCCATCCTCAGTCCCGGTCGAGCCCCCTGCCATCTCCTCCCATTCGCCCTCCTCCTCGCTCGGCCTCTGCCGCTCGGCTTGCTCGTCCCTTTGATCGTCGTCCCCGCTGTCGCTGCAGCTGCTGCCGCCGCTGCTCTCATCACCCTCATCCGCCTGGTAGTCAGGGTCGTCACCGCCTGCAGACAGCCGCCCCTGGTCGTCACCATTTTCCTCCGCCTCAAGAGCCCGCTGGCTCTTCCGCCGCTCCCGCTGCGGCCGGCCCCCCACGTCCCGCGCGGCTGGGCCCGGCCGGCGCTGCTCCAGCTGTTGCGAGGCTGCCGCTTGGCTACGCGTCGCGCGGCGCGGCGCGGCCGGCGGGGGCGCCTGCGGGGATGCGGCCGCGGCTTTGCCGCGTGCGGCGGCCGTGCAGCCCCGTGTCGCCCGACTGTCCGCCGGCGGCGGTGCGGCGTCTGCTGCTGCTGCTGCTGTTGCTGCTGCTGCGGCTCGTGCGGCTTTCGCTGCTGCTGCCGCCGGCCGAGCCGCGTTCTGAGGCGTCGGCTGGGAGGCGCTGAGCCGCGAGACACGCTGCTGCAGGGTCTCTCTGTCGTCGTCGCTGCTGCTGTCCCCGTTGCCCCCACTGCCTACGCTGGGCGTGCTACTGATGACGACGGCAGCAGCAGGCCGCGGCTGCCGCAGGGACGCCAGGCCCTGCTGCCCCTTGCCGGCAGGCGATTGCTGACGAGGCTCCTCGCCTCGCTTGGTGGACACCAGCGCATTGCCGCGCCGCCGAGGCCCTGGCTCCTCCTGCTCCTGCTCCTCCTCCTCCTGCAAGCCTCCATCGAAATGCTCATCATCGCCAGTCTCTTCTTCTGTGGCTGATGGAGGATGCGCCCCTGCCACTACGCCCCTCAGGGCAAACATCTGCTGCGCCCCCTGCCTCCAGGGGCAGGGCGGGTACGGCCGCCCCTCTCGCACCGCCCTGTCGAGTTGCCGCCGCCAGCGACGCATAATCTGTGGCCGCAGGATTGAGGGTGAGCGCAGCTAAGTAAGGGTATACATGAGCACTTTGTGCAGAGTGCGCGCAAACACACACACGCACGCACACACACATACACGCACACACACACACACAGAAACACACACACACACATACACGCACGCATGCACACGCAAGCAAGCACGCACGTGCAACGACAGCAACCCAGCACGACAGCAACCCAGCAAACCCACACTTCATGTGCACAAGCCTCAACGTGCTGACGCATGCGTGCGCAGCATTGCAAGCACCACACCCCCTCGTACGTTGCCCTGCTTGCACGCCCCCACGCACCTGGGTGCCGTAGCGCTCGAACGACTTAAGGCCGCCCAGATCGCGGCTGGTGAGTGCCATGTCAGAACCCGAGGTGCTGCTGCCGGTGTCGCCCTCGCTACCGCCATACTGTGCGGCAGGGCGTGCGCGTGCACAGATCAGCAGGGGTGGCGCAACAGTGCGCCTGCAGATTGGAAAAGGCACAAGGCATGGGGACGACGACGCAGCCTAAGTTGGGCCGAAAGCGAGGGAGGGCGCCGTTCAAAGGGGGCGAAGCGGCGGCGGGGCGCGGCGCCCGCACACCTGGCTGTCGCCGTCGCCGGCCGCCGAGCCCACGCGCGCCTTGCTGGTGGCGCGGTCGCCCCGCTTCGGGGCCAGCATGCCGTGGCGCGACAAGTGGCGGCCGGTCGCGTGCTGCGGCTTGCCTGTGGGGCCAGACGGCGAGGGGCACGGCGGCGCGCGGCGGCGGGCAGTGACGGCGCCATTCCAACGCGGCTGCCTGATGGGAAGCCGGTCGGCATCTGGCGCGGGCTGACCGCCCACCAGCAGAATTGGTTCAAACAGGCCAGGGCTGACCGCACCGAGAGCGGGCGATGGCGCACCAGACAAGACGACCTTGTTATGCCCGCCGCATCTGTTGTAGCAGAGGGCGCAGCGCTGGTCAGAGTCGTAGTCGAGACAGCCCTCCTCGTCCGCCAGGTGGGGCAGCAGGTAGAGGCTGCTGGCCAAGGCGGGGTGGGCCGACACCCAGGTGGCCTTGTGGCCCTGGTTGCGCCACCTGGGTGGGCGCGGTTTTGCAGGGGCGGCAGGGCGGCAGCGGTGAGCAGCTCAGCAGGGAGGGCCCGCACGGCGAGGGGCCGTGCGCAGGGGTGACCCCTGCCTGCCTTGGCAGCCACAACTCACAATAGGAAGATTGCTAGATCAGGTCAGGTCAGGTCAGGTCAGATCAGGCAGATCAGGTCAGATCAGGTCAGATCAGCCGTGACCAGGTCTGATCTCACCACTCCAGCTTGTCGACCATCTTCTTCATGGAGGTTTGGAGCGAAACATCAAAGCTCCTCTTGGAAACCTTGGCGTCCTGTGGGGGGGGTGTGCGGCGCAACGTGCGTGCGCAATATCCCATGCACGGCTCGTGTCAAGTGTCCGTAGGTGGGGCTTGGTAAGCAAAGCTTGCCGCTCGCATGTGTGCGCATGCACTGGCATGCACACGCGCGTCCACACATGCACTTCACCAAGTATGTGCACGTACACAATTGTATACATGCGCGTGCGCGCACACACACGCGCACACGCGCGCGCACACACACGCGCACACGCGCGCGCACACACACACACACACACACACACACACACACACACACACGCACGCGCACACGCACACGCACACACGCACGCACGCACGCACGCGCGCACGCACGCACGCACGCACGCACGCGCGCGCACACACACACACACACACACACACACATGCACCTGCTCGTAGCTGGGATACAGCTTGACTGTGAGGAGGTACCGCAGGTAGCACTCCAGCGTCTCCCTGTCACTCAGGTTACGCACCGCCCTCGCCGCAGGGCTGGCCACGTACCCACCCGCGGCCCAGCCACCCTCGTCGTCCCCGTCGTCCTCTTCCGCCTCCTCCTCTTCCTCCACCCCCTCCTCCTCGTCGCCGCTGCCGTCGCCGCTGCCGCCGCCGCGCCGTGGCCCCACCTCATCTCCGCTGTCGTGGACTATGAAATCGCCCATGCTGCCCTCCTCCTCCTCCTCCTTGGCCCCATCCAGACCATCCGTCTCCCCCCGCGCCGCCGCCACCTCGTCATCGTCTGAACCCACGCGCCGCGCATGCGCCTCCTCAACCAGCTCCCCAAGGTCTTCAGCGACAACAGCCGCCGCCCTGCGGCCGCCGCCAAAAAGGCGCGCGCGCACCTTGCTGGCGCTGCCTCCTCCTCCTCCGCCGCCGCCTCGTTCGCGCTGGGCGCGCCCGCTCCCGCTGCGCGGCGTGACGGCGCCGCTGCCGCGCGGGCCCCCGGCGGCGCCGCGGCTGGGAGGTGTGGCGGTGGGCAGCCGCGCCATGCGGCGC